CGTCGGAACTAAAGCATAAATTGCAGGAGGTACGGAAAAGCCTTCAAGTTCATAGCTAGATAGATGGAACCTGAAACCAACTTCGCAGACTAGCCACAGCTGAATTTGAAGCCCAAACAATCCCGTCAGTAGGCGAGACAGCATAACAAACATTCAGTATCCCATTTAAAGTGAGATTATGGCTCTTTTTAACCACATGTGACGCAAAACTCATCTTTACCGATCCGCATTCATGAGATGTTTCTTCGAAGCTCAAATGATGTCGCTAAAAGAAGAAACTCGATAGACCATGTCTGGCATAACAATGTAATTAAATTGTAACCTTTTAAGGCAAAAAAGCCTGCCAAAACCCACCTTTGCCGATTGGCATCCATGAGACGTTTCTTGGCCACTTTCTTGGAAAATGTTGAGTTGCGGGTGTCACCATCCACCGTTGTGGCGTCCTCCCTGGGACTCACCTTGCCATCAGCGACAGCGCCAGCGCAATTGGAGCCGATGGATTTGGAGGAGAGACGAAAGAGCTCCTCGAAACGCTCCATGTCCAGCGCCTCGATCACCTTTTCGTCGTTCATGCCCACGAAGATGGTGTTGCGCAGCTGTTGGTTGCGTAACACGCTCCAGTTTAACAATGGCAGCTTGTAGCGCGTCTGATAGGGTTGGCGAATTGGCACGGCTGTAGGGGTGAGGAGGCAACAAGCAGAGCCGTCATTAGGCCGAAAGCTACCTATTTATCTAATAGGTAGACCTGAGAGACTTCTCAGATCAACTTAATTAAAAGTGAAACCATCCAATCACCTGTCTCCTTGGTCCGTTTTGTCGGTTCCCCTTCAAGAGTATGAAAATTTAAAACTTCGTTTATGTTAGAGAAGGCATTAGGTTTACAAAAACTGGATAATAAAAACAGTGGCAAAAGCGGTAATATGACAGTGTGGTGATATGTTATACCTTAGTGCGACAGCGAAAGCATCAAGGCAGTTGATTTCCCGCCTGAAGTTCGCTCCTTTAATCCTTACAGTGACAGAATTCATCTAACTAGCCAACTAGCCTATTTGCTTTATCAAGATATTGCTGAACTTGTTTGTATCAAGTCTAACTGGCAATTCGATGTAGCTTCACTTCCTTTTCCCTACAGTCTCCGGGTCATTCATTATCCATGATCTTGGGAAAAGGTCAGATCTTTCACGTAGCTCCCCTTCAAAAATAGCACTACGGGAATGGAATTGCTCAAAACAATAAGAAGTGATCTTTCAAACGTATCTCAAGCCGTCTGTACTACCACATTAGCCCAACGGCAAAACTGATACCCGAAAATAGCACAAAGATTTTTGAACTTGCAAAAATTAATCCAAATAAAAATGTGGATCACAAACGAAAAATGGGGTGCGAATTAACCGCAATACGATCTCCACACAGAGCATGAAACCTCTCTACCTCCAAAACAGTGAAAAAAAGTTCAATGATAGGGTGAAGAATAAATCACGTTCACAGGTGAAAATCAGTTGCGAAAGTGGAGTTTTGGATTCGTGTATGTAGCTTTAGAGATAAAGAGAACAACTTTGTCAAAAATAGGATCAAGTCTTCCATTTTTTGTCACACGCATTTAAAAAACAGACGTACAAGGCCATCACAACGTTGAACACTGTTTTTTTCTTGAATAAGCAGACTTTCCGTTTTGGTAATAAAGTAAACTTCTCTCTCTGACGCTCATTTGTTTCCTTCACAGAGAAGAGAAACCCACCCAACTATCATATTTTCTTTTTACCTCCAGTGCTTTTGAAATAGTACGTTGCATTAACCTTTACCGGCAGTTCTAGATGCATTCGCTTTCCTCCACTACACATTTCACGTCATTACCATCCATCGCCCTGATCTCAGATCAGACTTTCATATAGCTTATTTTAAACGCCAATATCATCAAAACAAAAATGATACTATCATCAATCAACGGCCTTGGCAGGTGTCTCGAACTGTCGTCGTAATTCAACGATGGAACTCATGATCAGAAAGCCCTCCAGTATTCTTAGTTCCACACAATTAACCCAGAGGAAATAATCAAATGTGCATTTAAAATATTGGTGAAACATTTCCCAGACGAAATAGGACAGCAATGTTTGCTCAAAATCTTATTATTATTATCATTACGCTGACAAAAAGCGATTTCCGGAAGAAAAAAAATCAAAGAAGTAAAATTTGTGACTCTCCTGTACAAAAACATGAACCTGAGTCCAATTTGATCGAAAGAAACAAGATCAAATTTCACGCTTTTGGTTGTCCAAATATGCGCTTACACCGCTGATGCCATAGGAACAATCTCCACCACACAAATCACAGGCTTAAAGTGATTTGTTAATCGAACGCTATGCAGCAGTAATAAAGGTATAGTCTGTTTGAGTGTTGGTGTTTCCGTTTGACCTTCTAAAATAAGACAATTACATGAGACCCGGTAATAGTGATTGTTCAAAGTAAAAAGAAGGTCGCTCAAAAACACGTTTTCCCCCAGAGGCAAAATAATAAAGAATAATTTCCCAGCATTTCTGCTATCAATTTTATTTTAGCCTAGTAAAATTACAAATATTGGAGGAAATAGCCATTTTGACGGTCCAAAAATCAGCAAGTCACTACATAGTAATCTTACTACGGTATGGTAAATGGAAAACAAGTCTACATTAAAAATGATAGATAAATAAAAGGGTGTAAACAAGCAGTTTGGGCATAGGTGGTCTTAAACAATAATTTCGGGCTAGATCCCGTTTTCATGGGCAAATCTTTACGCATTCTCAAGTCAGTTTGATGCCAAATTCTGTCGACTGGAGAACTGCAGCTAAGTCAACGACACAAAAAGGCAACCCATCAAATACTTCGTCAGATTAAAAAAACGCTCTGAAAAAAATTGTCAGCTCTACATGTACCAGTAGTGCATTTTATTATAAAGGCGCCGTTAACAAAGGACAATAATCACTTGAAAAAGAGAAGAGGGTTAGAAAATTGTAAAGACCGCCTCGTTAAGAAACAAACGAGTTAAAATGCAGTTAATTCAGCCCAAAAGAAGACTGAGAATGCTGAATATTCACAATGCTGGCTACACATTGACCAATCATTTTCTCTAGAGACACCGATAAATGGTGCGAAAGTCAGCCTGAAAAAGAATCGCCCAAACCTCTCATGTGGCACTAAACAAGGGAGGTCAAACTCCACCATTGCGATGCGCTCTTCGGGTCTGTGCAATAATCTCTCAAAACGTTGATTATGGGTCAATTTCATCAAAGCAGCTGTAGAGGCAGCTCGAAGCACTCATGAATTAAGTGCCCGACTAGAGATTACACTTCATATTCTTCTATAATTTGCCAATGACCCTTTCAATTCTCAAAGGACTGTAGCAAATGTCCTTGCTCTCCCTAAAATCAGTCAGAAGAAGTATACTGTCGCTGTTCGGACGATAAATCTGTGGCGATGATAATCTAGACGTCCAGACTGTTTGATTAGTTGGTGCAGTGCCTCCGCTATGAGTGATAAGATCTCATACTTAATATCGAAATAAGCTATTTAATCATTTGTATGCAAATAAATAATGGCGGTTGGGGAATTGCGGGAAAAATACCGTGATTTACCCACTTTGTCAAAATATTGACCACTTACTGGACCTAACTATCGGGTTCCCAGTCAAAGCTTAGACAGGAAGAATAATTTTATTATTAAAAAGCTATTTTCCCCAACACTCTGTACACGCATAGCATATTCCATTGTATTCCCATTAAAACTAACTATGTCACGTGTTTCCAACTAACCTGCCACTTTTCCGGAATCATGGTAAGTATAAAACTGGCCCATTCGGATTATTTTTTAGAGGTTCAAAAACGACTGCAGATATGGCTTAAAACTGAGCTAAAGCAACAGTTCTCCATAATATGCAGATCTATAATATTAATTAGTTGAATAAAGTTGTTGTCCACCTCTATCCTTGGGTTCCTTTATTTTAATGTGGACACAAACACAAAACGCCATGATTGTAGCTAGAATTTTGGGGCTTTGACTTAGTTTTTCGAATAAGGAAATAATTACGTAGTCCTTTCCTCGCGAAAGAGAATGGGAGTAATCGTACTTAAGTGGGTAAACACTGTGATAAAACCATAATCCCTTTCCGTAGGACGAAGCTTTAAAGATGATATTCCAGGACGCTGTTCTTGTGTGGTGATGTGTTTCCGTCTCTGGTGATGCAGAAAATGAATCAAACTCATTTTAGCCTGAATATAATGCAAAAAAAGCACTCTCTCCTGGTGCTAAATATGTATGTTACAACACATTTAGGTGCTCAAAGGTAATGTTGAAACACTTTTCGGGCCTTTTCGAACCTAACTCGTAGAAATTGAACTGTCAACAATACAATACAGAATAATAAACGCTCATAGTGGTCCCGATTCATACAAAACATTTCCAAACAAGTGATTGTCTATTAAATCACAAAATTTGAAAAATTATAGGACAGCAAAATCGGTTTCCCTGGGCCACTGACAGCAAGAAGGCACATATAAACTCTAGACAGGGCGTATCCGGCCCTACGCGCCCAAAACTGGACCTCAAATACACAGAAATTCCCAAAACACAGTCTGCACTCAGAAATATTCTTATACCACTGGAATTAGTCACTGATGTGTACTCAAAATAGCACTTTATTATCATTGAAATAATTAAGTTTAGCATTTGGGGAGTAGCGGTTGTTAAATTCGTGTTATCGACATCTCACTCGGGTGGGAAACTTTGCAGCAAGGGAGGGGAGGATTACGATTACTTACCCACCATTACTGGCGGGGATAATGGGGTGGAAGATACCAGAACGGGCCTTATTTAATTTTAGTGGAGGTAACAGATGTATAAGACTGTCTGCGATTCCAAGTAGGCAATCATTAAAGGGATTTCTCGTGAGCTTCACGCGGAAAAGGTCCTAATGATAAGTTCTTCAGACTATCCACCATTCTGTGGGAGCAAGTAGAGCCATTGGCGTGTTGCTTTCACAGAGAATTTAGTGTCCACCTGGTGTAACATTGATATTCGTCTCATTTTCAGCCTATCACAAATCAGCTCTGCTGCACGTGTGGCCTGTGTAAGCCTTCAGGGGAAAACTCGAGCGCTACATCGGAGGTAGCGTTGGCGAACACATGACAAAAGTACAAAATGTCAATTTTGCCAGCTGGACTTTGCACCAGAACATCATTAAAAGTAGGTATCCTATGTGAGCAGTTAAAATTGCGGAGGCGCTTAAAAGAATTGCTACATATAACTCGTGTTGAGTTTTAAGCATTTCTATAAAAAAACACTTCAGAACGCGCATAGCAAAATAAGGGAAAAGTTGAGTGAATGACAGAAAAGTTACAAGACAAATACATCAGATTGGGTACAGTTCTGGTGAAAAGTTCTCGTATAACAAGAACAGTAGGTGCTTATAGGCTAATGACAGGCCCAGCTCCATAAGCAATTCAACCAAAAGCAAATGCATATCCGAGCGAATGCTTCAGTTAGAATGGATCAGTGATGAAGAAAACAGTCAGATTTATGACAAATTTTGAATAATTGACAATGGTAGCTAGGAATGTTACTTCATTCATGGAGCATTGTTGCAATCATTTTCAAGACTGAAAAAAAGTTTTGACACCACCCCATGGTACAAAGAAAATACGCAAAAGACAAACAATATGAATAACGCAAAGTATCAGGCTGAAAAAACAATAGACCTAAATGAATAGCATTGCTTTTCCGCTAGCAAAAGTAATTCAAAACCATCCTTTTACAAAATAGGCCAACACTAATACCCGTTCAGCATTCATGCAATCCAAACATGCCAGAAGGTAGCTAGACTGAAAAGCGTTTACTGCAGAAACGATGGCAGAAAGAGATTAATATCACAGGTTCGATTGCTATAAAACGTCCCCGATTTCACGTCTAAGTCTGGCAACGATGTTGTGAAGTCTTTTGTGATTGAAGGAAATGTGTCGGTAGATCGGTTTCACCGGATGATTACAAGAAACCATGATTAAAAGGCGCGAGTGCTATCGAAAACCCATGACCTCGTAAACTCCCACCAGTGTGTCCAAGGTCAAATTTCTGGTGAACCTACCATCTGTCCACTGATACCTTCAACGAAAATCAGCTTGCGTAGCCTGATCTACTCGCATCTACAATGCATATTTACAAAGGAAAACTGCTTTTTCTCGCTATATCTAGGCAAGGCTGTGTTCAGTGAAACTGCACAGGCTGTAATCAGTCATAGTTTGATTATACTTTGACCAGGAAACCCATACCGCACTTGGTATTAGATACATTGACTGTTATAGAGTCTATAGACCTAAAAAATATGGAAAAGTGATTTTCACTCGTGAATAGAGGACAACGATCAATGTAGAAGCACCGATTGAATAAGGAGAATAAATTGAGACCTCTGGCATTCGAGTAGTCAAACAGCCAACTATTTAACGTCAGAAAGGGAAATATCCCATCTAGAGCGAAGTATAAATACCCTAAAAAATGAGTACGGCATGTACTTCGAGAACGAGATACGGTCCTGGTACGCCGGTCATACTGTACGAGGCTGAAGGTGCATGATGAAAGCTGAAGTTCAGTTCTATAATACTAGACCTGTCAGGATGTGGCCCATGTGGTGTAAACGCCTATAATTTTTGGCTTCATCGACTATTCTAACTACACCAGCTGGAATTTCATTGCCTGTAATCGCAGTGGTACTGTTAAAGGACTAAAACAATGAAGCAAATATCAAAACATGACTAGGCATAAAGGCACTAATTATTCTCCTAACTTCTGTAGACCAAATTTGCCAAAATGTTTCCTGCCAGAAAAAGCGAAAATCGTCCGATCAATGAAAAATTTTCATGTGGATATAAATTCGCATTTCGAGAAATGCTTAACGCACGTCAATCCACTCGTATAACCCACTCTGGGCAATAAAAAGCCTGGGGAACAGCACCCTTTCTGAATGACATCATTGTCGACCTTTTTTAAGCAAATTAAAGCCCAGTTTTTATTTTTTTTATTGTCTCTGAGCCAGCTCGACATGGCCTTAGCCGGACCACTCATGCTTCTGACCAACCACCAATTATACATTATTGTTTAAACGTCTTCGGAGGAAACAGCCAACATAACATTTGGCGTTCTCACTTATCAACTTGGCCAATATCATTTTTGCATCGTACCAAATTTGCACCATAAAATTTGACGACTTGGTCAAACAGAAACGTGTTTGCCTGATACTATTAACACTGACCTTACATTGCTTTTATCTCCGAATTAATTCATTACATTTTGACTAAATACGCGACAAACATGTTGCGTGTGGACTCAAGTAAGAAAATTGCTGAGGTAGCAAACTTGAAGCTCTACGCACCTTGAGAGCCAAGCGAGGCCGTTCCAAGTAGAGTTGGAGCGGCAAAGGGAGGTGGGGGTGGCGGTATTCCCCCTGGTGGTGGTGGTGGTGGTGGCGGCGGGGGAGGAGGTGGTGGAGGTGGAGGTGGTGCGGCGGCAGCCGGTAATGCAGACAAGGCGGTGGGGGCGTTTTTCGCACGCTCGCGCTCTGCCTTCAGCATATCCTGCAGTTCAACAATCTGCTGCTGCAGCTTCTTCTCCATCGACGAGGCGGTAGAGTTTTGATCGGCCAGTCGTGAGCGCAGTGTCTTCATCTCATCCTTATTGTCGGAAAGTAGAGCCTATGAAGATGGAGTAGACGCGATGGCGTTCAAAAGACGCGTTGACAGCATTCGTTAATCAAGAGAAAGTCCAAAAAAGTCGAAAGACCAACTGTCATGAGACTTAGTCCCTGCGCTACTACGTTTCAAATATCGAGCCTCTAATGAGGGATTGAAACTGACATCGGTTTCGCCAGTTGCGGAGGTATATACAGTCGGTTGCGAGAATGTGAAACAGCAGGATGATATCGGCTGTAATTGGACAACAACGCGTAAATTTTTGGGAGACCATCGCGATTCAGTACCCACGAGCAGACAGCCTATTCATATTTCCAATCACCTGACCCTTTTACAGACAAGATTGTACGCTCAAAATACCGCCAAGTGTGCCTTGAATTCCAAAGAAAAATAAGTATCGAAAAATCGCGAATCACTTTTTTTAGTGACTGTTTTTGACAGGTGGTTAAAACGGTCATGGCTAAAGGGAGGATAGATTCATAGCCCAATTTTAAATGGCCTCATGACCTCAGATTCCGGTCAGTAAGTTCAAGGTAGGAAAGGTTGTTTGTTTGAATATCCTACAGCATATATCTTCAAATATCTCACAAAGCACAGTCCAGAGGCGAAGGCAATAAGTAAGATGATTCAGCAGAAATCCGGGCGAACATAACCGATGAAAAGGTTCAAAGGACTATTTTCCCGGAACCAGAAATATATTGCCCTTCCATGTATTTCAGGAACCAGTGATCCAGTTACAGGCCACAAGGTCAGCAAAATGCAATATGCTAAAAAAAAACAACTTCTTCATCCCATTTGATGGTATTTTAGGACCATTATGTTCTTATGGCGTTAAACGATTGGAAATCATCCCATTCACTGAAGTTGCAAAAAAGCAGTCAAAATATAGTTGAACCATTTGAGAAATGCAAACTGATGCGCGATTTGTGCTGTTTTGTCCTGCTAAAACATGGACTTGCATCAACTACCCATATCGTCTCAAAACTGGGAAATAGCATTCAAATACACGCACAAAACAAACCAGAGGACAGTAACCCATCTTTCGAAAACACCAGGTGAAGCTCGGTGGAATAATGATATTAAGATTCCTGAGACAAACAAGTTACATCTGTGACCCAAAATGTGATTTTCACAACGGTTAAACCAGTTCGCTCACGTTTTGACTTTTGAGGACAAAAAGAGAACGGGATTAAGAAGTGAAAAATAAATTCCACTAGAGATCATGTTCCTCTAACATTTGGACCTCGGTGGATGGAAATGGTTAATTAACATGGTTTTTAGAAACCCATCGCTCTGATCAATTATCATTCCGTTGAACCAACAGAAATAGACCGACCTAAGGAAGAGCTGGCGCAAAGTTAACCAAAAGGCAAAAGCAGCAATGCGAATTTCGTTAAAAACTCAGCTGTCAGACGTGCATCGTCCTAAACAGTAGCTTGATCTACTAACTGTTGGGTTAGACGCTGTTGATTAAGCAGAATCTGAAAAGCAGCTGTCAGTTTATTTTTTAGCAGAGGATGTTTATTAAATAATGGTGGTAGATGTTTACTCTAGGAAAACATATACATCAAGGTACTCTAAAGATGAATTTCATCCCGAGATGGAAAAAAATGAATAAAGCCCGAAACCTCTTTTAGCCTGTGGCCAAAAGCCCCATTCCCAGTACATTTCCCGGACAAAAAATCAGCCCTAGTGATTCATCTTGCCTCTTGGTGAAAAGTTGCACTTCTAAGACAGTAAAGTTATCGGTCTTGACAGCTCATCAAGCGACAACCGGAACTAACAGCTAACCAGCATTTGTGCGCTAACTCCACACGTTCCCTTTTAATTCTCCAGATTCCACTAAAAATCGGTTTTCTGGCGGTTCTAAAACATTATTTTTTTTTAATTGTTAGATCTCTAAACGGTGAACCATTGACCCAGAATTTTCGTGACTAAATAACAAAAATAAATCATTTCGATAGTTTGCAGAGAGCCAATACGGCCGAAGTTCCATGCCAGCCTCTTCCTCACACGGCTACCTCAAGCAACGGCAAACAAACGAGTTTTTAATTCATCCAGCAGAAAATAGGCCCTACTTTGCTGAACAGCTACTTTATCCCAACCTTCAGCTTCTTACCTCCTGTGTCGTGAGCTGGGCCTGAAGAGCGCCAATCTTCTCCTCGAAGGCCTGAGTGCGAGCAGTGTATTCGGCCTGGATGGTGGCTAGCTGGCCTTGTGTGGCTAACAGATCGGCGTCCAACATCTCCACCTCCGCCTGCAGGGCCTCCTTTGCTTGGGAGTCTTCCAATAGCATCGCCACATCCACGTGGTTGTCCAGGTAGGCCTCTAACTGCCGACCCAGCCGGTCTCCTACCTTGCCATAGATTTGCTGACGCATAGAAGGTAGAAAAGAGTCAAGGGTGTGATTATGCGCACTCTGAAGACGAAGTGTCTCGTCTCACTCTGAGACTGATTCAACCCAATCCTATACTTCAAGTCAACGCAAAACTCAGGTTCTTTTCAGTCTACGATTAAGTTAGCTAGCTTTCCTGAAGGCTTATCCAGTTTCGTTTTACACTTGACATACAAAATGATCCCCTCATTTTCAAACCATAAAGATCCCTCAGATGGACTAATTTCATCTTGATGATTCATTTCAAGACTGAATCATCCAGTTTTGGGCTGGAGGAAACTTATTTGACTCAACCTTGCGTGTCTGAACAACTTGAGGCCTTTGGAATGCGTAAGTCTCACTGATCCCTGGCGTTTCCGCAGATCCAACGATAGGCAACGTAACACAGAGGCGATAACATTTGGTTAACTCAGAATCACACTGATTCGAGGCTTCTTAATCAACCTCCTGCTAAGTTATTGAAGACTCCTTCACGACATGGTGGTGAGAAGGATGAATTTGGAAGACAACTTTTGCTCAACCCATCTAACCTATAATTTCATTCGTAATGCGAGTGGAACAGTCGCCATATTTTAAATCAAGTAGCTATGACAGACAACAGCCGGGAAGACGTCATAGGATTTGCAATTCACATGTTGGTTAGCCGGATAAATCATTTATCCCGCAATTTAACATTGAGAGTTCCTCGGAAGGCCAAAAGTCCTGCCGATGCATAGCATGAGGCAGGGAAATACAAAGTTAACAATGCCCCTTCAGTTCAGTGTTTCCCCAAACAATTACTGTTGATCCAAGATGTGTGTAGCTCAGAACTACTTCCTCCAAAGTTGGTTTATTTAGCACCTTTGATAAACTGGGACCATGTGATCAGCCAAGGGAGGGAGCACCCTTAGCATCATAGCTCGTTCATTTTCATCAATGTCTGACTTCAAGGGGGGTGAAAAACACTCATGACACTTCCGAAACATTCAACTATGAATAACGCCAACCACTGCCCCAAAGCGTGATTGAATTTATACTCGGATAATGTTCGAAGTAAACAGAATTGAAAGCATTTAGAAAACCATTTTTATGGAGTACTTAACCCTTTCAAAGGCAAATTCTAGCGTGTCTTCAAAATAAATTTAGTCCTTCCTCGATGAAACATCACTACACATATCCCTGGTGTCCTGAGATAATTAAGTTTGAAAACATTACAATCGCCATTTGGATACGATTAGATTCACGAAAATGTCATCTGTCGATACCCCTTTGGTAACACCGTAGCATACCATTAGTTAGAGAAATGAAAAACTGCAACGAAAAAATAATGTCTTCACAAAAAAAACGGAAATCAGAGAAAATAGAATTGCACATGAACACAATTGTCTGCATCGACCAACTATTACAAGCACCAAAACCTCAAAAAATCCATCCTATCATAGGATGAAAACCCTAAAGGGCAGTTGCCAGTTCTGAAGGCACAAGATAAACAAATGAGCAATGCTTCTGTTTCATGTGGAGACAGAGTAGATTAAAAGTGTCGAATGGCACCTTATAACTTTACCCCAACGACTACTCGGGGTGGTGATCATTTCCCAATCCAGAACAAAGAACTTGTAGAATCCATCAAGGGACATTGTTATTCAGGCCTCCTCCCACACAGACCTACTTGATGACTACATTGATGACTCAGTGAGCAAATGAAACAAAGAATTTTAGTGACTGCACAAATCGTACTTGCATCAATCATTCATTGAAATGAAAGATACTGAAAAGTTGGAGACGATTTCTCACCTGAAGATACTCATCCAGGCGATGATTGGTGAATTCCTGTTGGAGAAACACGCGAAAAGCGATGTCCTCAGTGGAATGTACGACGATATTGATGAATTGCATACAAGACACCTAAAGGTCAACAAGAAGTAACCAATTTTGGAGTTTGAGAAGGCAGTTTTGTAGACGGTGTTTGATGAAATTCACTGGAATCTTCTCAATTTCTTCGTCAGAGATGCTAATAGGACTAAAGGTCTTGAAGCACTGCCTTGGGTTAGTGAATCGCAATTAGAAATTTTTGTACGTTTGATTCAGTTCAACTTCAACAATTTTTTCGTTTTGCGCCCTCACCCACGAGTTGAGATATCAATAAACAAACGTTTTCAAATGTACCAGTGGTATTTAGGAGTGCCGCTCTTTGTACTATTGTTTGGCAAACATGTGGACATTGCGGAATGAGAGGTTTTCAGGTCAGATTAGGGCCTTAAATGCCACAAACATACGTTAAAAAGGATGAGTACTGTGGTGGTATCACCCACAGTAGTTAGTAAAAGTACCAAGCATATCAACCCACTACTCGTAATAGCCATTGGGTACATTGTGAACCAGTCTAGAGGCTGCTAATCAAGATAATAGGCAACGAGAGAAGCAAATTTTGTTAGTAAAGTCCCCTTTGAACCGAGGCATAAAACCTGAAAATATCTGATTGTGCGGAGAACATCAAATATTACGGCACAGCACTGTGGCAGGACACTCAGTCGCTGCAAAATATTTGAATGATGCAAAATTTTCAAAGGTACCTAATCAAACAACCCAGCGACAGTTCTGGCTGTGATAGTGTCATTTACAAACCACGGGGAATAATTCCTGTGAAAATCCAATGTTTGGAATGCCTGAAACCGAGTGCCTGATCGACGCATGACTTGTTGAGATATTTTCACATAGAAACGGTAAACACAATCATCCACGAATATTCTGAATTTCAAAAAGTTGGTGCACACTGGTTACCAAGACAGTTTCACTTTTGAACAGCACAAAAGGGTTGAATGATTCGACCGTAGTGGCAAATCTTTCAGTTCTGAAGCCTTTCAAGTAACGGTTAAATGTCGGGATAAGTGAATAAGCGTGGCAGCAAATTATGGTAAAAACTGTTGTAATTTTCACCCCTGAAACTTACGCCTTGCTTTATAAACACTTGCACTACAGCTGGTATCGGACAGTCGAAATTGTGAGAAATTAAGGCGAAACTTTTTGGGGCAAAGGTTACATGCACTACCTAGCCAACAAAGATTAGCGGATTTAACAGACAGGTAAATCTTAAAACTAGGAGCACTTTTTTAAGCTCGATAGGCCCGCATAAGGCTTGAAAAGTCTGTTTACCTATACACCGGCGTCTCACGCAGTCACAACTAGAATACTAACCTTGATTTGACAAAAAAGCAACACACGTTCCGGTAGATTTGCACACAAATCCGGTTAACTGACTGGTTGGGCATCACACTCATCAAATAAAAAATCCACTAAATGATACTTACCATAAAATCAATGCTATAGTCGTCGGGCGGAAGGCGTTCATGGTTACGGAAAAAGTAGACCAGCGTTTCAAAGCGTCGACTCTCACCTAACTCACGGCAAACCTCATCAAAGGCAGTGATCACTCGGTCGTGCCCACCGACTATCAGGCACACCGCCGCGAGGAGCTCCAGTACTAGTGTTTTCGTCCTTCAAGAAAAGCAAAGTGGTACCACCAGGTGAAGCTCCAACTCCAATGTACTCATGTGTGACAGTCAGTTAATTCTTGACATTTCAATAGAGGAATGAGTAACTAAAGAATGGGGGTACAATCAACAAGTACATCAGATCGGGAATAGGCACATTTTGTACAAAATCGAGCACTTACAGGCCTTATTTTGTGCCTTAAAATGTGAAATAACACCTGCTCAATTTCCCGTAGAAGTCCCCAATCTGGTGCCTTTAAAGCACCAGACTTTGACACCTTTGGACAGTAATAAGTTTAGACCCGTAAGAAAATATAATTGTGCAGAAAATGCTTAGACGCATATTTTCGTGTTTTCATCGTTAGATCAAGCCAACTTTAAAGAGAAATTAAGAAGTCGATGATTTCGTGATATCAAAAAAAGACTACTATTAACTCAGTGGTTTTTAAAAAGAGCAAATTCCCAAAAATGGAATTACAGTTTCGATTTCCACTTTCCCAAACAAATTAAAAGGACCCTGTTTATGGATTTCCAAATATAGAGTGGAACCTGTTTGTCCTCTGAAGTACTTCAAACTGGCATTGATTCCGTAGTTACACAGTAGATTTTTCTTCACAGGTTTGTTTGACAGATAAATGGGTAGATAGCTTGTGAATAGGACAAAAGAGAGCAGTAACATACAAACACCCACGGGAAATGAACCAGGTGTTCAGAGCATTAGGGATTTGCATAAAGCGACATGAACAGCATAGTTTAAGATGCATGAAGGGCTTTGAAAGCTTACCATTAACAGTGGTGTCAGGGCTGGCGGAATTTCCTTTATTTTTAAAGGCGCTTTGCATGGCCTCGCATCTTGCAACGGTATCGATAGTTTAAGTATTCATCACTCCAAAAAGAGTTAGATGACCAAGGAATAAACAGGTCTTTAGGCAATTTGTTTTCCTATGACCCAACAGAATCATACCTACCTTTAGGGAGGCCTTCTAAGGTCATGCACTTTGTAATGTTCCCGAGTCACAACTCAACCTAGAACAGTCCTTTGTGAAATTGCCTCAAAAAACAACGCCCCATGACAAAAACTTAAAATTAGTGCCCAGATAATTAGATAAAAGCAAATGAACGCTTACTGAAGCATTATTAGGTGCATTCTGGTCAACTGAGTAATAGCGTCATTGAAAGAGAGGGCTTTCCACGACTGTCTATGCAACAGTATGAGTCACTTCCCGCCCTCCCTCGACCAAGCGTCTATTCGTCAACAGTCGCGCGGGAAGAGCATTGCAAAGGGCAAGAGGATAGCACGAAAGGGACGCGGTCATGTAGTCAGATCGAAGCCAGCGTTCTGCTGTTCATGAGTAGTCCACTTATCTACGCCAGTCTGGATAGCTACCTGCCCCGTTTAAAGCAAACCAGGGGGCTAGATGATTCACACAAAAACACACAAATGCGTGCACATATATGCACACACACACACACACACACACACACGGGTCCGAATTCGGTGTCACAGGGGTTCGTTTTGTTTTTAACCCGAAAAAAGCCTACGACAGCGTGACATTAACATAGTGACACTAATCGTGCATTATTACTCACTGGAAACTGGGATGTAGTAGGCAGAGCGCGATGGTGTTGATGCTCTCTGGTTGTTCGAAGATCATCGTACAGCCTCGCTAAAAAAAATAAGGTAAATGCCGAATCCATAGGTCTGGCTCTCTCCTCCTTGCCACCAA